TATGCCAGTAACCACAGAAACATGCGTATGCCAGTAACCACAGAAACGTGCATATGCCAGTAACCACAGAAACATGCGTATGCCAGTAAGCATAGAAACGTGTGTATGCCAGTAACCACAGAAACATGCGTATGCCAGTAATCACAGAAACATGCGTATGCCAGTAACCACAGAAACGTGTGTATGCCAGTAACCACAGAAACGTTCATATGCCAGTAACCACAGAAACATGTGTATGCCAGTAACCATAGAAATGTGCGTACGCCAGTAACCATAGAAACGCACGTACGACAGTAACCATAGAAACCTACATACAACAGTAACCATAGAAACGTGCGTACACCAGCCATGAAGTTGGCGTGGGGCTGAACTAATTTCTTTCTTGATACGTCTGAAGTTAGCTGAAGTGAAAAAGGGTGTATGCCACGTTTTTGAGCGTAAATTTCATTTGAACATGAGGCCCCAGGCGAGACCAGGTGTAATAGGATAAGACGTCAATATTTATTAAGTTAATAATAATAATAATAATAATGAATTTAATTTGTAACGCACTTTTCATTAACAAAAATCTCAAAGTGCTACAAAGTGCAACTAAAATCGATGATAAAATCATGTGGAGGCAGAATAGGTTTGCTTGAAAAGAAAAAAGTCTTTAAGCCTTGAACATAAGTTGAACATATCATGAAAATATCATAAAAATATTAAAAAAAATTTATTCAAAGTTGCTTAGGATGAGAAACTGTGATGAAGTGAAAACTCACTGCAATCTGTTGGCTCTTTAGATAATAACATTATTAACTTACTTTTTATATATATGAATGTTTCTGTTCCGTTTCCTGAAGTTATCATTTGGCACTATATAAATAAACTGAATTTAACTGAATTTAATTAAAGTTTATTATTTAAAATATTTTGGAAAAAGAAAAAAGAAAGTAAAAAAAGACAACAAGCAAGCATTCGTACATGTTGAAGCGAGTGCCGACTGGTCCATCGGGGCAGGTGAGGTACAGCCCCACCTAAAAATTAATTTTCCCCACAAACTATTCCTCCTAATAAATCATGTAAATTACTTCTTTACTGAACTTACTGTGTTTGTTCTATTTCGTATAAGCTTCGCCCTTTAAGGCTGTCACTGATGCTTTATCCCGTTATGCAAAGCATTACACTGAAAAAATTTAGTCCACGCCCACCTGCTGTGTGGGCCCCACCCGGTCCGTATAATTTACGTTAAGAGCGGGTAATCGGCTCCCATTTTTCTTCAGTGAGCTAATAGCACTGTCAGAAGAACGAAGAAGGAAAGTTGTGTAGATGACCAACCTTTGTTAAGAATGCTTGGCCCGTCACGTCGACCTCCGGTCGTCCCGGTGAGCTCTCCTCCCCGAGGAGAAGATGACGAGCAGTCTTGTTTCAAGGTAAGCGCCGAGGAGTATTTCTCAGTGACAGGTCGCTACACGCTGGACAACGCCATCTTGTAATTTTCCTCTTATCGCCGACCCCTGGAGCGAATCGGGTGGTTCCTCCGGGACAGGAAGTGTCAGCAGCGCCCCCCCGCGGCTCATTCCCTCCTGGAGAGCATAGTGTCGGTGGAGGGGGGCTGAGTGAATGCTCACCTCATCCCACCTCATTTCGCATCGGCGATCACACCGCTCCCTGCCGACGGCACCCTCTGGGGTTGCCCGCATAACCCAGGAGTGGCTGACATGAAGGGACCTTTTTTACATCCCGCACCTTTTCCCGCCGGATCATCCGAACCGGCGGGAGGGTTCTTTTTCTAGACTCCTTTTCCGGCTCACCGTCCTGACCCCATCTGGCCTCGTTTTCCCAACAGGGCATCCTACGGGACGAGACCACAGCCGGTTTTCCTGGTAGATTGGGGGGCCGGTCTCCACAGCCCGCGCCCATCACCAGAGCAGAGGGGTTTTCATTGAGCGGTTTTTCCCTCAGTGCCCCCTGGAGCCGAGCCTGACGGAGGCTTCATCGGAGCAAGATGGCCAGGTGGACTAGCGTCCCGCACCTCCGGTTAGCATAATCCAGACAGTGACACCGATGTTCGACTGAGCTCACCAGCATGCGTTCCAGACGGCTGCAGCGAACAACACGTTACGCTGTTGGTGTACATGTTCAGAGGCGGGAGGAGAGAACGCTCCGTCTGCAGAGCAGCTGACGTCAACCCCAACCGGTGTGCCTCTTTGCTGTCTGCCGGCCCGCATCGCAGCCG